GCTGCGCGGGGCGGTGCAGCCCGGCGGCACCCGGGCATAGCTTCGCTGCCCCCTGCTCCCGCGGCCTCCAACAAATCCTCCCTCCTCCCCTCTTTTTCCCCCGCACACCCTCCTTTTTTTCCCCTTTCCCCCCTTTTCCTTCTTAATTATTTACTCCATCCGCCTCCAGCTGACCTCTTGCAGAAGCACCGCAAGCAGCACTGGGCACCCCACGGTTTTAAATCAGAAGCACTCTCTTAAAATCAGTGTTATTCACGGCCTGGCTTATGGCGTGGGCATAACAAAAGCTTTCCCCCAGGCTTGGTTTTTAGTGGAAGTCATCAAAGCGTGAGTGCATCGTCCACTACTGAGGATGTGAGGGCTGGGAATGGGGAGCATCTTCTGGAGGATGAGGGACCCCTTACTGGACCTGGGACACAAGCTCCTTTGCTCGCTTCGCTTCCTGCAATGCCCCATTAGGATGAATTTCACTGTAAAGTTCTCAATTTCCTCCAAACTATACTTTAACACTCACCTTGAGGGCACCATGGGACTATGAAGGTAAACATCATTAGCCTTCTCCCTCTCCCCGACTCTTCTTTCCCTTTTTCCTTCCCCAAAGATGGGTTTGGCTCCTTGGCACATGGGTGGCCACATGGGAAAATGATAAACTGGTGGGGCCCCAGCTTTTCTGTAACCCCGCCACAATCAGACATGCTTTGCCAATTTGTTTGCACCTGTGTTGGCAATCAGTGGAGTTTCACATCTTATGTTTCCTGTTGCCAGCTCTTTGCCTTTAGCCTTACCCATCTCCAATAGCTAAGATAATTATAACCAACCTGAATCACTTCCTTGCTTTTTCCTCCATTGCACGTGTATCCAGCCTTTCCTCATCAAAGCAAAATAGTCTCCATTTTCTGCAGAAGTACCCGTGATGGTCTAGTCTGGATTTTTTTCCATGTACAACTGCCGGTGGGACAAATGCAGGCGGACCCAGAGAGCTCATCTCCCAGCAGCACCAGTGCACACACAGCTGGCTACTGCCTGGGAGCCAGGGCCAGCCACCACACATCTTCAGCCTCTCTGAGCCTTCAAGGAGAGCAGAGCAGATGGCCTTGGCCACCCAGATGTCAAAATAGCCCAAGACACATGCACGCTCTATTTTTTTTCCTCTTTCGTGAGCAACAAGCAGAAGCATGCGACCAAGCCACCGGCGACGTGCTGAAATGGAAAGGCTTTAGAGGAGCACATGGGTTTCTCTCTGGAGGTTTCTCCTTGGGATTTTCATCCGCATTGACATGCCAGGCTGGGGCATCAGCTCAGAGGGATTCGCCTGACATTTCTGACCTGCTGCCGCCTATCATGTCAAAAAACCCACTGCTGGAGAAGAGCCTCAGATCACATCAGCACAAGGGACCATGACAGCTGAGCAGGGGAAACAAAGCCAGTCCACGCTTAACCAAAGCCATGACAGCCCCTCGAGTCAGTATTACCCACACTCAAGAGACTCTACACAACACAGACCCCCACATGAGCTCAGGGCAGATTTTAGGGACACGTCTATGCTCAAAGCGGGATTCGGGCTGCTTCCCCTCTATCCCAACCCCATATAGAGGGCCAACACTAGTTTGAAAGCAAGGCGAGCTGTGCTGGAGCAGAGAGGGTTTCATGGTTATCCCAAAGGAATACCGGGCATCCCATTGCACTGCTTGCTCTCACCGTGCTGGAGGCGTAACGGAGCAAAGAGCATGTAAGTAATGGTTAAGAGATTGAAATTTGTTAACTGAGACTTACAGAGCAGCTCCCCCCACCCCTCGGTACAGCTTGTTGCTGTACGGAGCTGCTCACAGTAAGTGAATTGTAAAATCCAGCAGGACTGGCCCAAAAGACATTTCCTAAATACGCAATAGAAAAGTCAGAGACCCTGACGTGGGCTGCTCCGGTGCTTCTGGGTGTCCTCTCTCCGGCAGAATAACTCTGGCAATGCTTAGCGATGGCACAGCAGTCACTTTTGAACCTGTCATGGGGACTGAATTCAATATATCAACTACAGAGAAGATTTGGGCCAGCTTAATTTTAAGGGGAATGAGCGAGCTGAGTATTTCAAAAGGAGAACATCAGATGAAATCAGCCACCAGTTGGTCAAAGCTATCCACAGATTTGGACCCTTGGAAAGACAGGTTAGTGCTAAAGGTGCCCAGTGAAAACAACTTGGGAGACTGAGGTTAAAGGAGTTAATATGCAAAGAGAATAAAAGGTTATAACTTCTGAGAAGGTATGTGCCTCAGCATCGTACTTAGAGCTGGAAAGTCCAGCTGGGAGGGTTTTGCATCTTTGCATGGCTATGTTATAATTGCTGCAGTGACAGGGCAGCAATTTTTTCCCCATTTCTTTCACTGGTCACAGAATCCTCACGCCTGCCCAGAGCAGGGACAACGTTGCCATCTCCTGGTCGCACCTTGTCCCCATGAGCTGGGCGAGGTGAGTGGCCCAGGCAGGGTGGGCAGGGGCAGTGGGACCCTCACCTTGCCCTGCAAACCCTTCTGGCTTTGCTTGCTCTGGCAGAGCCAGAGCGATGGGACCGAAGCAGGGGAGCAGCGTGGCGGAGGTGGTCCCAAAGCGAGGGATGGGGCAAGGCGAGGAGGCAGGGAAGCAAGGCAGGGGTTGGAGAACAGGGATGCCCGAGTCGCGGTTTGCAGCTCTGTGCTCCATTCCCGCCCCCAGATTAGGCACCCATGTCCTGGTCCTTGCTGGAAGAGGCATTGCTTTCTGCAGGGCTGGCAGATATCCCTCGGGGAAGGAAATGAACTGCTTTAGACGGTGGCTTAGCCCACAGAGCCACAGTTGTAGCGCTCCTCTCCTGCACTGTAATCATCCATGTGAGTCCAAAACAAACCATAAATCAATCTTTGCAGCTTACCTCCATTAGGGACTCTGACAGCAACATCCTCCCGCTGCTGGCGCTGGCATTCCTGCAGCATCCGACCCAAAAACAGGTCGGAGGGATGCAGACGGGGATGCCCTGCTGCTGCCGCTGCTTGAGCTGGACCTGAATCCCTGCAGATGCTAAACCCAGCAGGAACTGGTGAGTGATAAACATGAGAGGAGTGAGCAGATTGTTTCTTTTTTTTTTTTTATTAGACTAGGAAATATAATTTATTGCATAAAAATTAATTTGTTACAATAGGAATGCTAAACTTTATTTACAGTTCTTCAGTTTACAGAATAAACAGATGCAGTTTTAGAGGATGCCACCAGGCCCATCCCCTGGACGTATAAATATGGAAACAGATTGCGGAGCAAGAGACGGACACTGCCAGCATGACACGGACTGTGGGTTTGCCTTTGCCGAAATGCCCGGCTGGAGAAACCCCCAGTCACGGAGGGAGGCACGTTGGGCTCCCAGGAGCTGGCACCCATGGGAGATGGGCTCAGGTGCTCAGAGGACTGGGGTGGGGGGCAAACCCTGCCTCCTCCCCACCCCGCTCTTGATGCAGGTTCCCTGGTCTGAAAAATGGGGAGAACCCTCCCAAACATGCACGTTGGCAAATCCAGGTGGCCGCTGCCCGCCGAAAGGAAGGGGAAGACAAACAGATGGGGATGGAGGCAGAGGTGCCCGTGGGCAGGACGGACGGATGGACGGACAGGCGCGCACACCAGCGCAAAGTGATCCGTGAGCCAGACACAGCGAGAATGACAGCGAGAGAGATTCAGACACGACCCGAAAGAAGAGCATCTCATCTCACAGAGAGCACTGCAGCACTGAGAAAGGAGCCCTATAAAATGCCAGCAGCCAG